ATGTTTGGTGTACCTGCTGTTGGTGCTGAGACCCTAGCAGGCCGATACTGACCAGGGCTCTCGAGACCCAGCTGCTCCTCTCTTGTTCCAGTTGTTGGGCTGGTGCAGATGAGGGGAGGAAGGCCGAGTGAGGTGATGCGACTTATTTGAAGTCACACAGCAAGGAGGGGGCAGAGCTGGACTTGAACCCAGGATCTCTGCCCCCTCCGTCTTCTGACTGGGACTGTGCTACTTGGGGCCCAGGGCTGTCCCGGGTCCTGCTACGAGGAGGCGGTCAGGTCCTGCTTGGGTGGATGCTCCATTACTTCCCCTTCTTCTTGATGGGCCGGGTGCTCTACTTCCACCACTACTTCCCAGCCATGCTCTTCTCCAGCATGTTGACAGGTGAGTGCGGCCCCCTGGGCTGGCAGACTGGGCGGGGCGGCGGGGGAAGAGGCCATGTGGAGCTGCAGGGCCGAGTGTGAGTCTGTTCCCTGACATGGGTGGCTCCTCTCTCCTGCGTCCCAGAAGTCGTTCTTTGTGACCACGAGTGTGGCTGCAGGTCTCTCTCCTCCCACCAGGTGTCCTCTGGGACACGCTCCTGCGGCTCTGTGCCTGGGGTGTGACCTCCTCTTGCCTGGCCAGGGCCGTGCATGTGGTGGGCATCCTGAGCCTGCTCCTAGGAACTGCCTACAGGTGAGCAGCCCCCTGCCCCTCACATGGCCCCAGCATGGATTGGGTGGTGCTCCAGCCCTGGATGCCTTGGGGTGCTTTTATTGATAAACTGTACCAGTCCCTGAGCCCCATCTCCAGAGGTTCTGGTTCAGCTGGGCCCAGGGGCCCAGTCAGCCATTTTCCAAAGCCCCCCAGGTGGGAGAGCAGGGGGCTAACTCTTCTCATTCTCTCCTTTTGCTGGTGGTTGCTGGCCTGCGTGCCATCCCAGCACTTCTGAAGGGTATCCCTGTGGTCACAGTGGCTCCCTACCAGGATAGCTCTCACTGGGGTGAGGGAGGAGGTGGGAAGAGTGGGTGAGTGCGGGGTGTGGGACGTGGCTCAGAACCGCTGGAAGGAGAGTATTGTTTAGAAAGCCCCCCTTCTTTCCCCACCACCTGCCCAGTCTCATAGATCCCCCATGGAGGACCGTTGGCCTTTGTGGGGGACCTGTGACCCACAAGCACTTGCCTGTGTAAGAGGGTGAAAGTCACACTTTGACAGACACTCCGGGCCAAGAGCCCATGGCTTGACTCCTAGCGGGGCCCCCTCTGGGCCTCTTGGGAAGAGCCCTTCCTGTCCTGTTATTAAGTCCCCATATACTAAGCTCTCAGCCCACACTGTGCCCAACTGGCATTCCGAGGCACAGTGACACGAGACGGGTCTCATGGACGGGGAGATGGAGGGACTGAGGCACTGGGGTGCTGATACCTCTCTGGGGGTTCTCACCCACAGCTTCTACCTCTTCCACCCTCTGGCGTATGGAATGGTTGGTCCCCTCGCTCAGGACCCCCAGAGTCCGATGGCAGGACTAAGGTGGCTGGAATCATGGGATTTTTGAGGCCACTGCAAGGACTCCAGCCTGGGCGCAGGAGCTGCCTAGGACAGCCAGCTGTGGAGCCAGTCCCTGGACCTTCCCGCTGTGGAGGAAGCTGCCAGAGGAGCCTGAGGAGCTCTGTCGCCACCAGGACCATCTGGGAGCGAACCTGGGACTCACCCCAACAGCAGAGAGGCCACAGCCCTGTCTGCACACCAGCAGGGGACACCTCTCACGCTCGCTTCCCACATGTGCAACTCAGAGGAGTGTGCATGAGGGTGGGTGTGAGTGTGTGGGAGTGTGCACGTGTCAGGGCACATTTGTCCCGTCTGTGGACAGCTGAGTGTCATAAACACTAAGAAATAGTCCAGTAATATCTTCTGATATTTTTCACATTGAATTTGGTTAGTAAGATCTGTCAAAAATTCTCTAACCTCTAAGAGGACCTTGGAGCTGAGGGCAGACCCCTACTTGGGATACCACCAAGGGCAGAGCAGATGGGACCACCCAAGCTGTCTGCCTGCCTTCTGCAAACCAAGGAGTCCAGTTAAGGAGAGCACGCTGCCCCCCACCCCCAAGCTGGAGGGCCCAGCACTCCGCTGCTCCCCCAGGGCAATTGTGGTGCACACAGAGACGGCCCAGGGAGCAAGAGGGCCCTCAGTTCCTCATTCATTGACGATATCGCACTGTGAGGTCGTGGGGGGTCAGTGTCCTCTCCCGCTCTGCATCCCCACGCCCTGTGTGCCAGGCAGAGGTGCTTCTCACTGCCCACCCTTTGCATCCTGCCTAGCCATGACCTGGTGGAGGTATTCTGACTGGGGGCAGTGGGGCCTTGGAGGGCCCTTCCCCCCTCCTTCCCTCCCTCTTATTTTTAGTTTCTTTTCTGTGTGCACATGAGAGATACAAGTATCCTCTTGGCAGGTCTCACACCACGATCTGCCCCCATTCTCGACCTTGCCCAGCCAGCCGAGATCATGGGCACATGCTCCCATCTCCCCCAACCCCTGCCCCACCCCTGCATGTCCAGGTCAGCCTGGGAACTCAACCCTGGTCTTCCAGATGCTTCTTGTATTGCAGTCTTGTGCTCTTGCTGCACCACTGCAGCCGGGCCTTTGGGGACCTTCCCTCGGCAGCAGAAGTGGATGAGAGAGCAGAGAATCTGTGTGGTGCTAGGCAGGGATCCCAGCAGGGTGCCAGGGGTGGGGTACTCCCAGACTGTTTCTGTCACCTGCTGGGCTTTCCCTGCCCCCCCCCCCATTGGCATGTCCCTTTTCCTGTCGCTATTTCACTGATGTCTTTTCCCCAGAGACCCGAGCATCTCTGGAGCACTTAGAGATGCGTGGCAGCTCCTGCTGTCTACTGCTCTGGAGCTCAGACAGGAAGCTCAGAGCTGCTCCTTCCACCTCCTCCCCAAAAGGGGTTAAGAAACCCTTGGGTCAGAACCGAACCAACCATAGGCTACCCTTCAGCCTGCCTCCCTCTTCCTGGTGCATGACAAGATAATTATGTTGTCTCGGTTCTTTGATGCTTCAGGGCTTAATGATGAATCTCTGCCACATTCCATCTTCCCCCTGTGTAGCTCCCAACAACTCCGACGGGGTCAGAGCTCTCTAAAGCATCCTCGGGAGGCGGTTGCCACGGAGACTGGAAATTGGTCTCAGGGACAGGCTGTGCTACCTACTGGGTGGCGGGGAGGGAAGCTTCTGGGCCATGCTTGGACGTTCTGAGCAGCCATCATTACTGGTAATGGAGGAAATGCAGCAATGTCAGAACAAGTCAGGCAGGTTAATTAGATCTGGGACTGATGACCCCCCTCCCCGCACCGCCGCAGCCCTCTGACTCCCCCGGCAGGAAGCGCTGTCTGTGCGGAGCCCGGCTGCCTGATTAATTGCATTTCTGCC